GCCATCCTTGCTTGCACTGCTCTCACTGCACAGCATCCAGGGCACACAGCCCCGCGAGCCGCAGGGAGGGCGCTGGGGAGCCCGACAGCACAGCTCGCTCCATGCTCTCCTTCTTCATGGTACATCACGGAGCTGGTGCTGTCAGAGATGCTCAGGGAGCCCCAACCAGGACTCAGGGCTGGCAGGCGGGCAGCTCTGCATGGTGCGGGGTGCCTGGTCCTCCCTGACGCCCGGCTCTGCTCTCCTTGCAGCTCCCCGGATGCACTACCTGGCTGACAGTGGTGAGTGTGTGAGCGTGCAGCCCCCCACTGCTGGTCCCCTGGGGCTGTGGGGTCCAGAGCCTGGGCTGGAGGATATGCTGGGACCATGGAGGGAAGAAGGGGAGAGAAGAAGGAGTCCTTGAAAGGCTGGGCCAGAGTAGAGCTGAACCAGGGCAGAGCTGGTGGCAGAGAAACTGAAAGAAGAGGTTGTGTTGCACTGAAGGGTGAGATGGGAGGGATATCATGGGAGAGGGATTTTGGGAAGAGGAATGCCTGCACAGAGGGAAGCCAGGCTGGAAGGAGACGGAGCAGGGTGAATGTGGAGCTGGATAGTGACATGGGAGCACAGGGGTTAGGGTGGCTTAGCGAGTGTCTCCCAGGGTGCAGGGCTCATCCTTGCATTTTCCCTTATGCACCTTGGTGGCTTCTTTGCAGATCCCCTCATTTCTAAGTCGGCCTCCCTTCCTGCCTACAGAAGGAATGGGCTGCACAGGGTAAGTGCCTCCTGATGCATCCTGCTGCATCCTGCTGCTGACAGGCATCTCTGCACCCTTTATCATTCTCCCCAGGCTCCTCACTTGGTGTGTTCCTCTGGGTGTCCTGCTGCCCCCTTCTCTGCTCCCCTATTGCCACTGCTGGTCTGTGCCAATCCAAAATGACCCTCACTGGGGACCAGAGTGCCCTGTCCAGGCAGGAAGGACAGAGGTGCCTGCCCTGAACCTCCTGCAGGGCACGTTTCAGAAGGTGTTACTTCCCAGTGCAAGAGCTTTGCTTTATACCCTGGGGCACTGATTGCTGGGGTTGGTTCTGCCTCAATGTGATCTGGGCTTGTCTCTTCACCTCCTCGTGCCTCAGTTTTCCCAGTGCCAGGAGCGGGGAGCAGGTCCTGCTTTGGGGTGGGTGCCTTTCCCTTTGGGGACATGGGAGGTGGTGTGATGAGTATTTAGAGGGGACCCCTCTTACTCCCCCCTCCCTGCATCCCTCCTGCAGCCTCCCAGTGCCGAGCTTTTCCACTACGACAGCACGAATGCCGTCAACTGGGGCATGCGAGGTAAGGCCATGGGGCAGGGGAGCAGCATGAGCAGGGGATCCTGCAGAAGAGTCAGTGTGGCTCATGTCTCTCTTGTCTTTTCTTTCTCCCCACAGAGTACAAGGTAAGATGCTGCCGCTCCCAGGAGCAGCTGCCAGCTGGAGGTGCGAGTACCGCTCAGAGGGAGTCCCAGAGATGTGTTCTTGGGCCCTTCAGGAGGAAGCTTTGCCCTCTGCCTGCCATGCCCTACCTTCGTCCCTCTCCATCTCCTACCTGACAGCCCTGTCTTGGGACTGTGAGGCTCAGACCACAGTCCTTCCCCTCCTGCCAGGGTCCCAAGCACTTGCCCAAGCAGAAGTTCCTGGGTGAGGAACAGAGAAGGGTGGTAATGCTGGTGGCTCCCCACTCACACTCGTCACTGGGTCACTCCTGGTTTCAGAGTGAACAGGCTATTCCAGAGCCACAAAGGGATTCAGAGTGGATCGGGGTCACCCTTGAGAGCAAGTCCACCCTTTGCCTTGTCCCACCCAAGCCCTGGAGGCAGCTGTGCCACCCAAGTCCTCCTGAACACGGTGGGAGGAGGCTTTCTCCTGGTGTTCCCCACAGCCTCATTCCCAGGTATGGCCAAGTATGTCCCATGGTCTTCCTGTCCCTGTGCAGATATACCCCTACGAGCTGCTCCTGGTGAAGACAAGGGGGAGGAACCAGCTGCCCAAAGATGTGGACAGGACTCGGTTAGAGGTGAGGAGAGCCTTTTCCACTGGGCATAATCTCCTTGGGGCTCGGACAGGCCAAATCCTGCTGGATATCCCCTTAGCCCCAGCAGGCAGCGTGGGCCTCTGAGGGGCTCATGGGTGTGTGAGGAGCATCTCCGTGGCTCCCCAGGAGCACACGTGTGCCAGCACACTGTCACGGTGGTCCTTCTGCTCCGCTGGCCAGGCAGAGCTGTTCCCTATGCCACAGCACGAGTGCATTTAGCAGGAGGGAGCTGGGTGCTCTCTTCTCCCAGGCAAGCACTGCTGGGGATTGTAGCATCCCTTCGCACCCAGTGGGGCAGGAGATGCCATCAGAATCCTGGGTGGTGGCCATGGTCCCCATTCCTGGCCCAGCATCCTGTCTCTCCCCAGCGGCACCTCTCCCAAGAGGAGTTCTACCAGATCTTCGGCATGACCATCGCAGAGTTCGACCGCCTGGCGCTGTGGAAGAGGAATGAGCTGAAGAAGCAGGCCCGGCTGTTTTAAATGCAGTGCACTATAAATATATACATACCTATAAATATATACATAGAAAGATCTCTATCCTGCAGCTCTGTATGATTCTCGGTGCTGTACGTGGCAGAGGCGCCCTCTGCACCCCTGAGAGTGAATTGGAGTCTTGCAGATCATTTTATGCTCTTGGTTTCCTTTTCTTTCCCAACTCTGTCCCTGTGTCCGTTGTTGGGTTCTCCCAGGGGCTGAAGCCGTGGGGACCTGAAGCACTTGGTGTCTGTCACTGCTGAGGTGGGGATGGCAATGCTGCACTGGTGATTGCTCCTGTCTGCTTTAGGGCAGGAGCAAATGAACCAATTTTATTTATAATGATTTTACTCATGTAAACTGTGTCTTCCTAAATCAAGCTCAACCATTTGTGGCTATAAGAAACTTCCATCTCCAGCAGCAGTTTCAGCGGTAAAGCCTGGAGGCTATTATTAATAATAATAATAATACGATGGTGGGAGTCTTTTCATTTTCAAAGCATTTTATGGACAGTAACTAACTGTTCGCCATAACTATCTGCATGGCAAAGATGGGGAAACTGAGGCAGGGCTCGGTGCGAGATGTCAGGGAAGCCTCTCCAGACCATGCTGGACAGCAGAGCTGGGCAGAGAGGGTGTGACAGGGGCCGCTGCCTCCCAACTGTCCTGTGCTGAGTGCCCCCGATGGGGAGGCCCTGAAGCCTCGCTCCTAATGCTCGTCTAATGTTCCAGTTGTTGCTTTCCCAAGTGATAAGTGTGTACGTGTGACCTGAATCGTGTTTCTGTCACAGCCTGCTGTCCCCAGAGGGCTCAGCTGCAGGTTTGAGGTGGGAGAAGTTGTCGTGGGGGTGCTGGGAGTCACTGTCTCTGCTGCAACATGTTCCTTGCACACCTTGCAGGTCTCCCAAGCCCAGCTCTGCCCTAAGGTCTTTGCTGGAGAGGGACAGTGACGGTGGCATGAGCATCATGGCCAGGCTGGCCACCTGAGCGGCACGAGGAGGGAGCAGATAGGAAGGGCTTTGTGGGCAGGGACAGCGCAGGTGAAGCAGGGAATGAGGTGTTAATGGGGAGCTGGGCTTGCTCACTGGGAGTGGTGAATCAGTACTTGGGTGGGGGAGCCAGCTCTGGATCAGCCCAAACCAACCCGCTCCGGACCCCTGCCCCTCACGGGGGGATCCCCGGGTGCTGGGGTGCTCAGTGCGCGGTGTGGGGTAGCGCTTGGGGGGTTCAGGGCTGGGAGGAGCCCGGGACACCCTCGGCGGTGCAAGAAGCAGGGAGGTGTGTGCGGGGCTGCCCATGGCGGGGCACTAGCGACAGGGACAGCCC